CGCTGTGAAATAACAATACCTGAGCTAGACTGAGCGACCTCAATACCTAGAAAATACTATAATTTACCCAGATCCTTAGTCTGGAAGTGCTGAAAGGGATGTTGCTTCAGATTAGTAATACCATCCTGATCATTACCAGTAATAACAATATCATCAACATANTTACAACTGGAACTGTAGGTGGTGGAGCTGGAGTGACTGAATCTCCAAAAGATAAAACTTGTAATACCTCGGAGGTCACTGTTCACGCTGGAAAAATATAAAAGTGGTCGGAATTTGATTTGAATTAGATGGGTAGGCTCGGAATTTTGAGGAGAGCACACTGTCCTGAAGAAGCTTCGCGAAAAAATGGCCGGAAAGTGGCCGGAACCTAGTTCCTGTACATCTAAGTCTAATGAAGTATCTAGTTCCTGTACATCTAAACTTTTACACTGAAAAGCCAAATGCCAGTGTTTGATATTTGAGTTTATCCACTGATTCAGCCTTGTCTTTGAAACACCTTGTTTCTCTCACTTCAAAACAATCAAAAATTTGCGCTGCTATATGTTCTTGCATCTTTTAGGTGTTTCTTATCCATCATGCCTGTCGCACTAATAGAGCCTCCACAGATTTAGGCATCACTCAATGTAACCATAAAGCTTCAGAAATGGGCTGCATAGTTGCCTTGCTACTGTGCAATGCAACAACAGACAGTCTGTATCTTCAAATCCCATCTCACCTTTATAATAACACCCATGACACCTAAAAAACCTCTTTTGCCGATTTGCTTGTTCAGACAAGCTTCATATGCCGCAATCTAGCAATAGCCATTTGCCTTTTGTGATACACTACTTCTCCACAAATCTTAATCGGGGAGATGCTTGATGAAGATAATACCTTATAACCTGATTTAACTCTAAACTTGCCATACTTCTGATGCTTCCATCTCAGAGCATCTGCCCTTTCTGATAAGATGTTAGCTCCTTCCAGTTTATCAATCTCAATTTCTCAATCCTTATAATTCCTCCTGCAATTTACCTCGCAGCCGTGGACTGATTTGCATTTGCAATAGTAGCATCCATATTCCTGGCAAAGCTAAAACTATGCTACAAAATTTCATCCGCTAGAGGACTATGAGCAATCCAAGCATCCTGCCCAAACTTTATGCTCCTGCCATCACTACAGGAAATCAGTGTTTGAATTCTTCCCAAAACATCCTCACATGTCTCCACAATCCAACACCAGGTGACCAAACTACATGTTTGATACACCAAGGGCCATCAGTGCAATGTTTTGCTTGTTCCAAATGATCATTAATGGACTCTTGGAAGTATCTCCATAACAACTTATATAATATACTTTTGTTGTCTAGTCTCAGAAGTTTATCCCCAAGCCTGCCTTATTCTTCGATAATGTGACATTACTCCATTTTACCAGATGAAAGCACCTCGTCTCTTTCTTTCCTTTCCATAAGAATTCTCTTTCTGTGTTATCCAGCCTTCTCTCTAAGCTCTACGTTTTTCGTTAACCAAAATAAAGACATCACATATGCAGGCAAACTAGTAGTACGCATTACACAGTTGATAATTGTGATCTTCCTTCCTAGTGACAAATAATGCCTCTTCAAGTTTGACATTTTCTTCTTAAACTTCTCCACAACTCTCTGCCAAACACTTCAGCTTTATATCTAGCCCCTAGAGGTAGGCCAATGTATGTGGCCGGTAAGGTCCCGGCTTGTGCACCCTAGAATATCTACTAAGGCTTGTATATAATGCACATAGTTAAATGGGAGGAACAGCTCTTATCCACTTTGAATTGAAGTCCAGATATAGCCTTCAAAAACAAGAAGGATAGTCCCTAGATATCTCAATTGATTTACTCCTGCATCACAAAACATAGGGGGTGTTATAGGATTATTGCTTCTTTTTCGAACCGAGAATCCTCCATCCAGTTATCTTCCATTATCACCAACTAGAGGAGAAAAGGTGATAATGGATCACCCTGCCTCAAACCCCTATATGCTGGTGGAAGCATAAAGAATCTTGCACTAGCGCTACATGGTTAGTTCAAAGTATCGATACAGTTTCATTTTTCTTTTGCTATTTGTGTACTCATATATTCTTAGAACTACAACTAACTTTGAAATTTCTTCAGCGGTATACAGTATACTTGAGAATTGAAACATCCCTCCAATTGGCTAACCCTAAACAATTAATTAGTAGTTCCAAAAATCTGAGTATTTCACAAGGTTCTGCTGCAATAGACGATGATACAACAACAACAACAACAACAACAACAAACCAAGTATAATCCCACAAGTGGGGTCTGGGGAGGGTAGTGTGTACGCAGACGTTACCCCTACCTTGAGGATAAAGAGGTTGTTTCCAATAGACCTTACCCCTACCTTGATGATACTGCCTCAAAAAGTGCCATTTGCACCAATAGTACATTGTGAAAACTGTAGGCTAATGGTCTATGTTTATTTTCATGTTTAGTCAGTCACGTCCTTGCGCCCTTGGTTTTATGGTGGAAATTATTTTTTGTTACCATGACAGCAATGAATTCATGACAGTAAAATTTCTTTTGCCATTTCTAACAGGGTTTTCTCAACTTTTATCATTTCATCATAATTAGTACTATCACTGCTCTAGGTATGTGCTTCTAGAAATATATGAAGCTTGCTTGATTAAGTTCTAAGAGTTTCCCTGCCACAGGCTGAAACACTAGAGGATTTGCTTGAGTGGAAAGCAGCACTTGAGGAGGCTTTGGCAAGTGCACCAAGTGCTGATCCTGTAACTACCCAAATTGGAGTATCTAGGAATGATCAGGGCAATGCAGTTGACCATTCATCAGAGCAGTGTAAGCTTCTCATTCATATGGTTTTAAATGATGTGAACCTTTGACGTATATCTGTCAGTTATAAGAACAAATTGTGGGGAAAATCTGCCTATTATATAGCCTTACTTACATTTGATTTACAAGACAATTCTTTTGCGAGAAAACAAGAATTTCATTCTGCTTGTGCTTTTTGATTTTTAAGCTATAACATTCATCATTTTGTCTAAATGTGTCTGTGTGTTTGGTTGTGAATCTCTATTTCATCTGCATTATTAAAATCGGTGAAGGTAGTTCGGTCACATTTAGGGGATGCCAAACTCTTTGAAGGGGATGTCATTAAATCTCAGCATCACAATGTCTAACTATAATCTACTCGTCCACAGTGCAACTGTACAAACACTTCATTTAGATTTTGCTGCTCATCTGGTCTGAAATGATTATCACATATCAACAGAGTTATTTCAAGGGCTTATGCTCGATGAGGTTTTCTGAATGTGGCAACTGCATTGAATTAACCTGCATGGCTTTAAGGGTTAAAAGATAATCATTCGGTTACCCATTCGAGTTGCCAAATAAATATTGCTGAGATTATCTATTAACCCTTAAAGCTGAGATCTTTTAACTTACATGGGAATGTATTTATTATTTTGTGTTGGGATACAACGTGGAGTATAAGAACTCATAAACTAGCAATGCCTAGAAAACAATATCTAAGATGAAAACAATTCCCTTAAAGTTAAAAAGCAAGCATTTCAAAGTAGGCGTGTGCTTTAGCAACTAAAAAGAAACATCTTTTTCGATAAAAATAGAAGTCATCAACAGTATTATGTAGTAAGAAATCGTAATAATTTTGAACTAAAATTCTTTTTTGTAAAGCTAAACTAGCTCATGTATACCAATTAGTAATGCTATTTCTTAAAATTTGGTAACACATTTCCTGTATAACAATCTTTTTTTGTTATGCACCACATGACAATCCTTTCATAACTTGTCCGCGAACCAAACGGTCCGTAAAGGTGTTTTAATGATTTTTCTCATGGATCTAACTTTTAATTTCATGGTTTTGATTCTGTAGCAAATGATAGAGAGCCTGTGAAGTCTTTGGTCCTTGGTCAGCCAGTTTTACTTGCTTTGGAAGATATTGATGGAACCCCATCATTCTTGGAGAAGGCCCTTAGGTTCATAGAAGAGCATGGTGAGCTTCGCCTCCTACAATATCAAATTAATACGAAATTGTTGATGTCTGGATGTATTAGTTCTTCTAGATTCTGAGCTTCACAATCCTGAAATATTTCTTTCTCCTCTTAAAGGTAAGTGCAGCGTATTCCCTATCAGTGTTGTCAAAAGCAAAAAGCTCTAAAAGCGCTCCATGTCGATTGGGGCTTTAAGCCCAAAGCGCAATTAAAGTGCGGGCTTGAGTAAAAAAAGACAGCAACTAAGGAAAAAAATTAAAAATTCATATGTCATTTACGTTAAAAGAAACAAATTCATTCCTAATATTTTCTTTAACAACTACTCCCTCCGCTCCGGTGTTCGTTTTTGGTCCGTTCCAAAAAAATGACCTCTCTCTAAATTTGAAAATAATTTAACTTACACTTCTAGTTCTACCCTTAATGAAAAGCTTTTATAGCCACACAAATACTTTGGCATGTTTAACACCACAAGTTTTAAAAGAATTATAGCCACACAAATATTATGGCTTGTTTAGGACCACAAGTTTTAAAAGTCTTCATTTCTTTCTTAAACTCCGTGCCTAGTCAAACATGTTCACATAAATTAGAACGGCGGGAGTAATAAACTTATTTGCCGATAATATTTGTTGTTTAGTACCACTCGATTCAAGATGGAGCCCATTGGCAATGAGGCGCACACCTTAGTGCTTTGCATGTATTAGAGTGCAGCTTAAGTGAGGGGAAGCACCCTCCCTAAGCTTTTCTGAGCTTCAGGGCTTAAGCGCACCTTAAATGAGCCTTTGACAACACTATTCCCTATTAATATCTTCTGTTCTGTTGAGGTCTTGCTCTAAGAATGGATTAACAATATACAAGAAGAGCTCATCACTTACGAGTCTTAGCGTAACCAATTATTTCCTACTCTTAATATGGTAAAGCAAATATTTTACTACTAATATAGAGAATATGTAGAATATTCTACTACTAATTACAGCGTATATGCAGAACATTTTATGGAATCTTAAAAACAATTCTATAACGAATCTGGTCAATATTATTGTATACGGTCGAAACCGGTTTCGACCTTCGTATGATTAGTCAAGATTGAGACATAATAGATCGAAGGTCATCTTCATAATATTGGGTACGAGATCTGAAGCCAGGTAACCGAGCTCAAATTTTTGGGACCGATCAAATACCAAACTCGAAGTCATTACCGAGCTCGAATCCAAATCGAGCTATGATGCGAAGCGGCGTTATCGAGCTTGAGAACCAGAGACCGTCCAAAACCGAGCCCAAGTCAATACCGTGCCCCGAGTCAATATCGGGCTCTAAATCTGGAAACCCACCAATACCAAGTCCGATCGAGGTCGAGCCAAGGGACAAGAGCTGTTACAGCCGTACTAAGGAGAGAGAATCTCGGCGGGAATTAGGGAAAAGCTATTCTATCACAGACTCTCCACTATGTATTTTTAATTATATCCAAAGTAGGATACCTCCATTATAAGAGGCATAGCTACTATTTCTGTAAAGGGGGACATCAAGGCATTGATACACTCTCATATTATTGATATTCACAGAGAAAAAAGATAGTGATATTTAGATTATCCTCTTGTGAGCTATATACATTGATTCATCTTGCTTGTTCATAAAAGAATTTTCTATTTCAATTTGGTTGGTATTTCATTCTTCATACAGTCAATATATTTCTACTTACTTTCCGATTTGCACCAATTTATACCACGTATCCTTAGAACTACGTATAAATTCAACTCTATCCGTTTTTCAGATAAACAGTTTGGCGCCCACCGTGGGGTTAAGGATAACAATGGTTGTTTGGTACGAATCTCTACAAAACACACCATTTTACACTTGCTCCTGTTGTCCTTTAAGATGAGAACAACAACTTAACCCCTGGGGGTGAAAGGCCACTTATCGATCCCGTTGGAGCTCGGGTCGAAGAGCCAATAGACGTCAATTCGCATGCGGCCATCGAGGCGAACCAACGTTCCGACCCTAAAAATAGCATTCATGGTGGAACTCGGTCCGCAGCTCGAAATACCCAAAACGCTGAGGAAAACGGAATCAGTTTGCGTATGATCTTCGAGATATTGCTAGCTCAACAAGTAGTAATAGCCCAGTTGCAGAGCCAAACCCAGGCACCAACCAGACTCGAGCCCAGTCCACCCCAAGAAGTCACCCATAAAACGGGGCCAGCTATAGTAAGGTCAAATGAGCAAGAATCGGGGACTAATCCCGAAATTGTTAAGATGCTCGAAGAATTGACAAAACGAATAGAGTCAGGAGAGAGGAGGATCGAGGCAAACGACAAAAAAGTAGAGACATATAACTCCAGGGTTGATCAGATCCCGGGGGCACCACCGATATTGAAGGGCTTAGATTCCAAAAAATTCATACAAAAGCCTTTCCCCCCGAGCGCGGCTCCTAAACCGATCCCAAAGAAGTTTCGCATGCCCGAGATTCCTAAATATAACGAAACGACCGACCCCAACGAACATGTCACCTCTTACACATGTGCTATCAAAGGGAACAATCTAGAGGACGATGAGATCGAATCTGTATTATTGAAAAAATTCGGTGAAACCCTGTCAAAAGGAGCCATGATATGGTATCATAATTTACCGTCTAACTCTATCGACTCTTTTGCTATGCTTGTAGATTTTTTCGTAAAAGCATATGCTGGGGCCATAAAGGTCGAGACAAGGAAGTCGGACCTATTCAAGGTAAGACAAAAGGATAACGAGATGCTAAGAGAATTCGTATCTCGTTTCCAAATGGAATGAATGGATCTACCACTAGTCACAGACGATTGGGCTGTTCAAGCTTTCACTCAAGGTCTAAACGAACGAAGCTCGATGGCTTCACAGCGGCTGAAGCATAACTTGATCGAGTACCCAGCTATTACTTGGGCCGATGTGCACAATTAGTATCAATCCAAAATAAGAGTCAAAGACGACCAGTTGGGTTATGGGTCCGATATTAAAAGGGATATCGACCGAGAACCAAGGGCAAATAAGGATCGGTATCGACCGCATAACGGAGATCGTAGGGGTAGCGAACCTTCACGCAACCCCGGACGAGGTGAAAAGAGAAATGATCGAGGCCAAGGGTCTCGGGGGCTGATGAACAGGAGTGGGTTCGACAGGCATACCGGACCCAGGGAAACACCTCTGTTATCGGAGTACAACTTCAGCATCGATGCATCCGCTATCGTATCGGCTATCGGACGCATCAAAAACACTAAATGGCCTCGACCTATGCAGACCAATCCTGCCCAGAGGAATCCCAATCAAATGTGCGAATATCATGGCACTTATGGCCACAGAACGGAAGATTGCAGGCAACTAAGAGAGGAGGTAGCCCGGTTATTCAATAAAGGGCATCTTCGAGAATTTTTAAGTGACAGGGCCAAAAACCATTTCAAAAACAGGGATTTCATTAGACAAAACGAACAAGAAGAGCCACAACACATCATCCACATGATCATGGGTGGGATCGATACCCCCCAGGGGCCGGTGCTTAAACGTACTAAGATGTCGATTGTAAGAGAAAAGCAGTCCCGGACTCAGGATTACACCCCTGAAGAAACCTTGTCCTTTAATACGAAGACGCGGAAGGAATCATGCAACCACATAACGATGCAGTGGTAATATCCGTACTTATGAATAAAACTCAAGTTAAACGTGTGTTAATCGATCCAGGTAATTCGGCCAACATCATTCGATCGAGGGTCGAAGAGCAACTCGGTCTACAAGACCAGGTTGTGCCCGCAACCGTGGTACTAAACGGATTCAATATGGCATGTGAAACTACTAGAGGCGAAATAGTCCTGCCAGTTAACGTGGCCGGAACCATCCAAGAAACGAAGTTCCACGTAATCGAAGGCGATATGAGGTACAACGCCCTGTTCGGAAGGCCGTGGATCCACAATATGAGGGCTGTACCCTCGACCCTCCACCAGGTTTTGAAGTTCCCAACATCGGAGGGAATCAAAACGGTCTACGGGGAGCAACCGGCCGCAAAAGAAATATTTGTCGTCGATGAAGTGACTCCGATATCATCGTTATCATCAGCAAAAGGATCGGATTCGAAGGAGGAACAAAATACCAAATAGCAATCACAAACGTCAGCTTCGACCCAGTTAGAGAATTAGAAGACTGATGAAGATGGTGAGCATAGGATCCCTCGATCTTTCGTGGTTCCCGATGATTTCGACGCCACCCAATCAACAATCGAAGAACTAGAGCAAGTCATACTATTCGAATATCTGCCCGAACGAAAGGTATACCTAGGCACGGGGTTAGATCCCGAGCTCAGGAGAAAGCTTATTCAATTTCTTATAGCTAACATAGATTGTTTCGCTTGGTCCCATCTTGACATGACAGGGATCCCACCGGGAATCACCACTCAGAAGCTAAGCTTGGACCCAAAATTCCACTCGGTAAAACAAAAAAGAAGGCCCCAGTCCGAGGTCAAACACGCCTTCGTCAAAGACGAGGTAACTAAACTTCTTAAAATAGGATCCATTCGGGAAGTAAAGTACCCCGAATGGCTAGCAAATGTGGTGGTAATGTGTATAGATTATAAGGACCTGAATAAAGCATGCCCTAAGGACTCTTTTTCTTTGCCTAATATCGATCGTTTGATCGATGCCACTGCCGGCCAGGAGACTCAGTTTTCTCGATGCCTATTCCGGGTACAGCCAAATACAGATGAACCCGGAGGATCAGGAAAAGACCTCGTTTATCACTAAGTACGGGATTTACTGTTATAATGTAATGCCATTTGGCCTAAAAAATGCTGGTGCAACTTATCAACGCCTAGTAAACAGAATGTTCGAAAAGCAAATAGGAAAATCAATGGAAATTTAGATTGATGACATGTTAGTTAAATCCCTGCGAGCAGAGGACCATTTAAAGCATTTGCAGGAAACTTTCGACATACTAAGGGAGTACAATATGAAGCTCAATCCCGAAAAATGTGTTTTCGGGGTTGGCTTGGG